CTAGTAACACAGCTGGTTGGTACGCTAATGCTCTTTCCAGTTTACTCTGGTTCTGAGCCACCAGCTCACGACAAAGGTCAAATACGTTCCAGTGCAACGGCAGGAAACAGCTTTGGGAAAAACCTTTGGTGATCTCTCATTCAACCTCCAGCTCAAAGCAAGAATAACATCAAAGTTGGATTAAGTTGCTCAGGACCTTCTGCAATTGGATTTGGAAAATCTCTGCTCTGAGGAACTGAATTGATAAGTTTTCTCCAAACAGAAAATTCCTGTTGGCACAACTCTGTCCTCTCTAGCTCCTTCATTCCAGAAGTCAGTCTCCTGTCTGCAGAACTAGTTAATGATAATGGAGTTCTATCAGATACCATATTGATTTATTTTTATCTATGCAAATTATTAATTCCAAGTCTGTTATTTCCCCAGCTGACTGATAACAGTGACCATTTTGAAAGATGTGTCAGCTCTTGAGAGTGGGATGCTGGCAAAGGCCATGTGAAAATCTAGATAGCTCAGTGTTACTTCTTGTAACTAACGCTCTACTGATACACCCCAAGTACCTAGTAAACTGATAATGCACAACTTTTTTTTTTTTTTTTTTTTTTAGGAGATAATGGTAATTTATTTTAATAGATTATGACTATGCAGGTTATCTTTCTGTACTCATTCAACTCATTTCCAGGTAAAGCTGGTAAACCTTTCTTCTAAGTGTGGAGAAAATGCCCCAAAGAAAAGCAATGGAGCGGGACAATTTTTTATCAAATTTTATTTATGTACAAAATGAAAAGACATCAGAAAATTAGTGTTAATTATTTACTATCTACTGCTTGATTAAAGAAAAAGAGTTTGTAGATTATTTTTTTTCCTTTGTATGTAAAGCGAGTAGAAAAGATATGAAGTCACAAATCAACAAAAGTGGTGATTTGTGAAGTGGATGTTGGTCAGGGTCTCATTTAAAGTATTTAAAGATATTTAATAATGAGTAATACAAGTAACTACTCTTCAAAAGGCAGTTTGAGTGAGTCTTGTCTTAGAGACACTAGATATCCCCTAATGCCAGCATGAGCTGCCAGATCCTGAAGAAAATTTCCAGAAGCTCAGAAGAGGGAAGGAAGCTGAGCATCCTCGAAAGTTAGCTTGAAATTCTTCACATCTACACATATTTTTATGGGGGATGAGGGGGAGTAGAAGTGTAGTTTTAGAAGTCAAAGACAGCACTTATTTATTCTTGGAAGTCCAGCAGCTGGTTCTTTCAGAAATATTGCAGTGATGAGATGCACACATATCCTGAATCTGCCAACATACGAGTAGATTCTGCCAATAAGACTTTCATTTAGAGATGTTGGATATTTCAGGTTTGGACTGCTTAGCTGTGCATTCTCCCTGCATGCAGTGCTGGCCTGGTAACAGCCTCACAGGAGATAAAAACCCATTTTAAAATCAGATGCTGGTTTCTGAGCGTGCAGCACCGTTTAGGCAGTTCCTGCAATGCCCTTTTTCCCTCATGTCTCTGCCCCATCTCAGCGGTGGGGCAGGCACAGGACCTGCTGCTAGGCTGGGGTCCCTCCTCCCACTGTCCCACTCCACCACTTGGATTGGGAGGATGCTTGCAGCCAATCTAGGGGAACTGCTGTGGGCTGGTGTTTGGGTGTATGGAGGAAGGGAAGAAGTTGGGCTCAGCTGGCCCCTTGAGACTTAGGCAGAAGGGAGGCCTTGCTGGTTTTCAGTTCCTCAGTAGCTCAGCTTGCCATCTTTCACTGCATCGGTCCCTATGATCCCTACCTGCGCTAAGAGCACAAAAGCAGTGTCTGCATAAGTAGGGAAACAGAGGAAGAAAAATCTGACCTGGAAAGATGATCTCTAGCTAATCACACCCTGGTCCTTTGTTCAGCAGAATAGTGTGATTCATTCACCTTTCTGTAGTGGTACTTTAGCTTCCTTGTGCAGTCTAGAGCTATTGTAATGTGTGTGCTAAAAGTGAGAGATTAAAAAGCTCTGAAACCTTCCCACATTAAAAGCATAACATTTAATTTCCGGAAGAAATCTAAAAATAAAGCATATCACATGCCTTCAGTGACCGAGTGATGTCCTCTCTGTCTGCCTGAGCAGTTTGCTGTGACAGCGGAATGCTGACTGCTGTTGTTGGGTGCTTGGGCTTTTGGGATATGACTGCAATCCGGATTTTTTCTTTCATGTGCTTAGCTTGTGCTTCCTTGCTTGTGTGCGCAATGGATGCAGTTTTTGTGCTGCTTCCCCTGTGGGAGAAAATGTTGTCTGACTGCAGACGAATGGAGGATGGTTAGCATCACTATTTGTATCAGAGGATATGTTCTGAACGTACAGATACAACATCTGTGGTAAGCTCTGTTTCCAGCCTCTACATTTTATCTTGATATATTCCTTTTACTAAAGCTTCAGCACACTCTTCTGCTGCTTTATCTTTACTTGCACATTGTAAACTTCAATCAAGTCGCCTTCTAATCTTCTCACTGATAAAATGATAAAAGTTCTTGGGTTGGGCTATGTAAGATGTCTTTCCTGCAGTTGTTTGAGGGGGGGTACAATCATACCCTTTGGATCTTGTCACTAGGTGGGGTTTTTTAATCTTCTCTGTTGTAGGTGGAGAACCCTGTACAAAGTGCTCTGCTTTTAAATCAGGCACTAAATGTTTTTTTTCTGAAGCTACGGAAACATCCCAGGGGCTCCCAGCCAATTGTGCCTCATGCTAGATGCTGGCAGTTGACATGCTTCATCCGTCTGATCCCTGTGAGTCAGGGGCTGTCTTGGCTTCACCAGGAGCTGCCATTGCAGTCTATGTTTGAAAGTAGAAGCCTGTAACTGAGATGTTGCTCCAGCAGTCCCTGTGCCCCAGGAACACAATGTTCCTGGCCAAATGCACCTTTATGAGTAGAAAATAAACTTTATGGTAATTTTTGTGGTAATAAACTTTATTTAGCTTCTGCAGGGACTGACTCCCTGTGGTTGGCTTTCTGCTCCCTTGAGGCAGAGGATAGAGGAGACAATCGTATATTCTAAGTGCAGGATGTAACCTGCTGCTTTTGAACACTGTGTTAAATATTTTGCATCCCATTACTGAACTTGCATTTTTGAGCCATTTTTATGAAGCCTAATATTAGGATATAAAACATCCCTGTGGCTCACATGAATCATCTCTTCCTTAGAGAGGAAATAAGAATGAAAGTAATGAGGCTGATTTGTTCTAAATGTTGTTCATAGAATGATTTGCACTCCTCTACTGTGTGTTAAAGATACACTAAACATATTCTGAAAGTTTTCTAGGTGTCTGTTTCGGGATGTTTTGAGCAGAACCCCTCAGTCACTCACTGTAACAGGGACAGCCACTTCTGCAGCTTTCTTGGTAGGTGCAGGAACATTGATGTCCTGATGGAAGATCTCCAGCACCAGAACTGGCTGGGACAAGTGGATTGTCCTCTCCCCATGGGTTCTCTAGCCTGCGTTGTCACCCACAGACTGTAGTAGACTAATTAGTAGACTAATTTATTTTTTGTAGCTCTTTTCTCCAAAGCATTGTTAAAGAAGAGGTAAATTATTTTCAAATTATTTTTAAAATTCCCTTGTATTTCCAAAGTTGCTGCTTATTCTTGAGGTTGTACTGTTGTATTATTTCAATTTGGCTAGTGCCTAAAACAGCAAAATGAAAAAGTCAATGTTTAAACATCAGCTATAGTGAAATCAGAAAAAAAAGTGAGATTAAAGCTGTTGAAGATGTTTTGCTAGCATGAATAACTCTTGTCTTCAGTCACATTCTCTTCTGAAGTAGCTGTTCTTAGAAATGAGATGTTGTGATCCCATGGAAATAGGAAAGTTCCTTACTGTGAGTATACAAAGGCACTTTTGGTGACATAATACTTGAAAAAATAACTGACATTTGATTTGTTGCAGAACAGTTTAGTGTCTTTGAATGTTCTCCTATTTGATGACTGCAGTTAAAGCAGTCCTAGTTGGTAGCTTGGGTATTTCTGGGTATTTACAGAAAAGCATCCTTAATTTTTTTTTCTTTTCTGCTTGTGGATGCTGTCCCAATTCCTGTTGTTTAATAGTTGCACTTATATAGTTGCAATGAACTTTTGGGTGCAAGCTGATACTTGCTCTTGGACAGTCAATATATTAAAACATGTCACATCTTCCACTCTAGGTTAACGCTATAGTTTTATGGGGTCAGGAACAAATTCTGCCGTGAAGGCATTTCTTTCCTGGGAACAGTGGGAGAAAGCATGGGGACCAAAGCCTAGGTAGCTGTTCAGAGTTTGCATCGAACTGAAGGCAGGCTCTGTAACCTATCTCTTTGGAAGCCAGTGGTGAGAATTTGAAGTGGGAAGAGTTCCTTCTTTATTCCTACTTGAAGGAGAAAGTGACGTATAAAATGCCCAATGGACAAATTATAGGAGTTAATGCAATCAACAAAAAGTCCCAGCCAGCTGCATTGGCTTAACAGCTGGTGTGTGCTTGTATTTGCTTGTGTTCAAGCAGGGGAATGAGCGTGTGAAGTTGTCTTCTTTTCGGCTGGGACGGAATTGTTTTCTTCAGATTGCCTGGTATGATGCTGTGTTTCAGTTCTAGGAGAAAAGCAGTGTTAATTTGTTGCCTGCTAAGCAGTGCTGTACAGAGCCAAGGCCATTTGACGTGGCCCTACCATATGACATCATGTGGAAGGAGTTTTGAGAGGGGTGGGAGCTAATCTTGCTCTCTAGCTGTTTGGGGGCTAGCTGGGCATCAGGTTGTAGTGAGCTGGGGGTCGGCCTCTTCTCTCATGTCATTAGTGATAGGACCAGAGGAAATGGTTTCAAGCTATGACAGGGGAGATTCAGGCTGGACATGAGGAAGTATTACTTTTCAGAAAGGGTGGTCAGGCAGTGGAATGGACTGCCCAGGGAGGTGGTGGAGTCACCGTCCCTGGGGGTGTTCAAGGAAAGACTGGGTGTTGTGTTGAGGGACATGGTTTAGTGGGAGCTGTTGGGAATAGGTGAATGGTTGGACTGGATGATCTTTTAGGTCTTTTCCAACCTTGGTGATTCTATGATTCTATGATAATTTAATCTCAACACATGAGTTCTACTTGTTGTTTTTCTGTTTGCTTTTTTTTTTAAATTCTCCCTACCATCCACTGGGAAGAGGTGAGTGTGAGCGAACAACTGTATGATGCTAAGGTGCTGAGCCGTCTGCAAGGTTAAACAATAGTAAAGACAAGAATAAAGTTTTATTTCAGATACTTGCTTTAATTGAGTTTTGAAAGGCTGTAAATTAATAAAAAACTAGCCACTGTGATGATAAAAAGGAAGTAGATCAGTGGAAAAAGTTTTATCTGCATGAAAAATACACCATCTTTTTGAGCTTGTGTTTGATCTCTCTGAGAAACTTTTTGAAATAACTTGGGTCAAGATGTAAGCTGGGCAAAAATGAACTGAGTGGTTCATTTTTGAGTGGAACTTTCTGCCTCTCAGCTGTATCATTTCCTGAACGAACAGGTGATGGTAGATATAACATATTTGTGAGATGCCTGTGCTTACCTGTACTTTTCAAATAAGAAAGTAAATACTTAAAGACACTGTCGTTTTTGTTCTTTATTCATATGGCTTGTGGTGAGTGTGTCCAGGCACTCACCTTGCATTTGTAGGGTTCTTTCAAATAGTTTCATTTCTAGATGTAGGAGTCTCCTGCCTTTGTGTGTGGGCACTTAAGAGATCTGTGTAATTGGGTGTCCTTTTTCTTCCAGAAAATGCTTCTTCCAACAAATGCCAAGATGCACGATTGCTTTTTTTCTTTATTTCTCTTAAATGATATCGAGCATGGTTGTGGATACCGACGTGATGTTCACTGATTGGCAGAACCATGTTTCACAGCACTGAAAGCTCTTCTCTGTAGGTAGACTGAGTGCATCCTCCTGGTGTTCTCCACTTATCATTCAGCTGAGGCAACAGAGTACAGCTCCATGAAAGCCAGCAATACTGAAATCTAATGCTGATGTAAGAATGAGATTTCACCTTGCATCAAGTGAGCCAGGAAAGTACTGGGATCACAGGAATTCTGACTCCTGCTCAGCCACAAAATTAATTGCATTCAAGGAAGGAGATCTCCATTGCTTAAGGAGTGTACCAAATCTTCCTCTTTTCTCAAAGATGTTAGGACTCAACTAACCTTAGCAGCCTATGCTTCTTTGTATCTCTCTCCTGTGAAAGGTTTAAAAGGGACAGTAATTGGAAATACTGTTTGTAGATGTGAGATGCAGTACATGGAATGAAGTTTGAGTTATCAGACCACTGATTCAGTTCTTACCATATGGTTAAAGGCTTGAAATGTTTTCTGCCGCGCAGTAAGATGTCCTAAATCCTTTTCTTCAAACAGGTTTCAAATATCCTTTGTCACACTATATATGTCTCCTAATTCTTCTATGAATAAACTGACCAGCTGTTGTTTGTTTTAGACATGAAGCTGCTTGGAAGTCTCTTGATTTCCATCTTCTACAGTCTTCAGTGACTAGAGTGTTTGGCACTGATGACTAAAGTTGAAGTTGACTGAGTGGAGGAGGTGGTGGGGAGGCAGACTGGATAAAGCACTTTTCCCAGTTCTTATATCTGTGTGGTTTCTCTGAAAACCTGTTTATTTGGAAGTCCCTGAACAAATCTGTGTTTGATAGCCAAACAGAGCTGTGGTGAGTGCTGCCTACCTGCTATCCCCAACGTTGTTTGCTTTTGCTATTCCTTGCTTGTGATTGCTTTGCCTTTTACTTGTTTTAGACATGTGGTGAAAAAGAGCTCTTCTATGGCTTCTGTTTTCTGTTTTACTGCTCTGTCACAGTAAGTACGAAAATGGCAATCATATTTCCATTAAGAAAGCAAGTGCCAGCATCTGTCTTCAGGGCATTTCCTGCCATTCATCAGGGACTAAGAATTTGTTTACTGCTTTTTGGGAAGTAGCAATGTGGAGCTGCTGCTCAGAGGTGCTGAGCTGCTTGGAGGAGTCCTGGCAAACAGACACCAGGCCCTATCTGCAAAAGATGGTAGAGAAGCACGTCATGGCTGGAGCAAACCCTGGAGTGTGCAGCTGCTACCAGGCAGAGCCAGGTAGGAAGTGGGGAATGTGAGAGGTTTGCTTTTATAGCCAAAGACTGTTCTCCTCTCTTTCCTATTCAGAGTGTTTACAGCTTTGAGATGTTAGAAGTCTTATTTTTCCTGCCAACTCTTACATTCCTACAGCAAAAAATCTTTGCCTCACCAAACCCAGCACATGCAGCAGAGATGGATTTGTACAAGGCTTCAGGATTAGTGCTGGAGGCTAAACTTCGTATGCATATTTGTGCTGTTTTGGTGTGGGAGCCATAACATCTCAAGACAGAGTCATCTCTTGGTGAGAGAATGCACCTAGAGCCTGAACTGGTGTCTGAACATGTGGCTTTTCTGGGAGAGTATTAAAGGAAAGCTGAGAGACCTGATGCTCTTCATTCTAAAGAGTAGGCTCATTCTAAAGAGGGACCTTGTAGCAGCTCCCCAGTATCTGAAGGAGGCCTACAGGAAAGCTGGGGAAGGACTTTTTATAAGGGCAGGCAGTGACAGGATGAGGGGAAATGGTTTTAAACTGGAAGAGGGGAGATTTAGACTAGATATTGGGAAAAAATTATTTACTGTGAGGATGGTGAAATACTTGAACAGGTTGCCCAGCAGGACTGGAGCCCTCCTTCCTGGAAGCATTCAAGGCTAAGCTGGAAGCGGATTTGAGCAACCTGGTCTAGAGGGAGGTGTCCCTGCCTATAGCAGTTGAAACTAGATGATCTTAAGGGTCCTTTCAACCCAAACCATCCTAAGGTTCTATGAAATGTAGATGCAATATTCGAAGAATGTTGTTTTACAATTTGGTGTGCTCATTGCTATTGAACTTTTTTTTTTTTTAAAAAAAAAAAAAAAGCAAAACAGAACTGCCATTTTCTTCAGCATCCAGCTTGCCCGGTCCTGTGTGCTGCTATGGTCTGCAATAACAGAGCAGGCGACAGAACCCACTCCAGCTATCCTTTCCTAGACTTGGGCTGTTGCCTTTAGCCGCAGAGCTATAATAAACTTTGGAATTATTTTGCATTTTGTTGGGCTCTTAAATAATGTAAGGACTGTATAATTGTTCTGTATGTGTCATGCTTTTGGGATTATTCTTACACTGTGAAATTGTCTACCGCTGTCAATATATACACGGATTTTTTGCACTTAGTAAACCCATTTGAAGTCCCAGTTCTCATGAATTATGCTTGTTTAGCTTATTTGAAACTCATGAAATTATCAGCTGGAGTGATTTGACAAATAAGGAATATGATTTGTGAAACAACTCCAGTTCATGTTAATGTAAAAACTGGAAAATTACTAACATTTTGTCTAGAGATGAATTATAACTTTATTTAAAGAAATGCTTATGTAGAATAAGATTTGACAAAATCTTTCAAAAATATATTTTTCATTGGGTGATGCCAGAAGAAATACAGGAATTTCATATAGCTTATAGCTTGTATTCTTAGCATTACTAGTGAAGGAGTTTTTGTACGTATGGTGCTACTAGTCTGAGGAAATAAGAAAGGGGATATAAATGCAGCATTGACAGTATGTCGATTCATAGTTCAGTGTGATTGAATGTAGCCTGTTGCAGCATGGAAATTGACTCCAGTTGACACTGCATTCAGCTTTTGAATGTTGTTAGTAGTTCATGGTATGACCAAAATGCTATTGCTTTGTTTTTTCTAGGTAATTGTTATTACTGCCATGCAGCGTTGGGAAATTGAAATACTGTACTATTTGCGCTGTGTAACTTGGATCTAGTTTGCTTACTGAAAGATGTTGCAGTGTGCCAGCACCCTCTTGTGGGCTGTGGAATAGTGTGGAGTTTTGACTTGCAAGATGGAAATGGCAAAATCTCTTACAGCAGTGGCTGTATATTGTCCCAGGTACAGGTTGTGTCCCCCACCCTAAATAACTACTGGACTGCACATCTGTTTGTACAAAACATTGCATCTTGACTGAAACACTCTATTGCTTTGAAAATGACTTCTGTGATTTGCTGAATGTCAGGACTGCTTCAGTCCTTTTGTACCTAGGAGTTCATCTGTAATAGCAAAATCATTCTGCTCCCAATTAAGCAAGAATGCAATTGAATGTGCATGTGTGTGGAAATAGAACAGATTTTTTGCAGAGCTAGTCCATTCTGTTACCCTGTATCTTTCTTTCCCAAAGTCTGCCTTTTGTTTCCCTTCCTAGTGCTGGTAGCTGAGGGGTTTTCCAGTCTTGCAGGGGCTTCTGGAGAATGCAAGATGGTGTCTATATTATAATCAAGAGACTGATGTTTTTCAAAAAGGATGTGTAATGTGAGATGTTGTTTGTATGGGTTAGAATCAGCCACTATAAATAAAATTTAATATTGAAATTAAACAATAAAATAAAATCACAGCTTCCTGTACCCCTGGGGTGCTTTCCTTGGCCCAAATACTGAGCAATTTGAGTCCTTTTGTTTTTTTTTCCCTGACCAGGAATATCCAGAATGGTGTTTTTTCTGCTCTCTTTGCTGGTGTTACAAGGGGATTTGATCTGAGACTGTTATACTGCTGATTATTGTTTATGTGCAGATTTTTACTGTTTATTCTCACAAATCAGAAATTTGTCCCCTTTAAGGCCAGGAGTTGCATCTGTGAAAAATATAATTGCTGTATGTTCTTTCTTTTTGCAGGTTGCAGACTCAGCATGTGTCCCTAATAATTAAAAAGGTAAGCAGACCATACTTATAAATATGTAGCATGGTGCTTTGTATTTTAATTGATGCGTGCTTATCATGATAGGATGGAGATATTTCATCTTAATGTATTGGCATAGTCATTCAGTACTTAAAAAGTTGGTGCACTAAACCATTTCAAGAATGACCAATCAAAACAATTTGAAAATATAGAGAATATTAAGAAATACACAAATATATCAAGTTGATGCTCATCTTACGTAAAAGTTCTTAGCCATTTAACCAAAAATTTGTATTCAGTCTGTGTTAATAAAATAAATATGTAAAGATGACCTAGAATCGTAGAACTATTAAGGTTGGAAAAGACCACTGAGATCATCTAGTCCAACCATCAACCCATTCCCCATGCACACTAAACTGTGTCCTTCAAATAAAGTACTGTTTTAGTGAACCACAGAACTCAGAACCAGTGAGTTTTGTTCATCACTGCTGCCATTTTATCTTCATTCCTGCTTTTTTAAAGCCTATACATCTTCTTCACTCTTCTCCCTGCTTTTTGCCACTCCAAGTGCATTTTTGCTGCTGCAGGATCACAAGTAATCACAAATCCAGTCAGCTCAATGTTTAGCATCATGCAATGCAATGCAATGCAATTTAAAAAATAATAAAATTGATTGCTAAATTGCAGCAAAATCTATTTATCCCATGTCTGAACACCCAACAGCTGTGAAGCCCTGGTGCCTGTGCCTGGTCAAGAGATGATGTGGTGCTGTGCGTGGCTCTAGAAAAATCATACAATCACGGAGGTTGGAAGGGACCTTTGGGGATCACCAAGTCCAACAATTTTGAGCTTAATCAATGAATGTAATGGGGAAGGAGGAAGTCAGTCCAGTTTCTAAGTTCAGTTCCTGAAGCCAACTATTGCCCTACCTTATTGACTTTTTAAATAGTTTCAGTGTGTTTGGGGCTTTTTTTAACCTGCTTTAACAGCCTTTCAGATTTATTTTCCAATTAACTATTGGGTTAATTCAACAGCTGCAACTATAATCTTTTAAATTATGACAAAAATATGAATACTACTTAATCAGAGGTCTAGATTTCTCAGTTCTATTCTCTGAATGACTATAACTTTTTCTGAGGAAACACAACTTAAGTATGTTTCTGACAATTGTGGATATTTAAGGAATCTTTCAGAAATAATGTACGTTAAAAATCAAAAATTTAGCTCTTGAAGAAGGCTCTTACGAAGGATGGTGGATGGCTAAAACAAAACTTCTTAATAAATATATGTTCAGAAATAGTTTACTGTAAAACAATTCTGCGTCGTAAGTTTTTTTCTTATTTTGAGCTGAGCTCCAGGCTTGTTTGGTTAATGGAACATTGAATGTAGAACCAGTTATTTGCATAGAGTAACAGTAGATGGTGCTATTAGAGCAGATTTGATCACCTGAGCTGCAAACTGTGGGATATGATATCAGAACGGCTTGGAATGTCCGATGTGCAGCCAGCAGCATTGTGTTGGATGAATTTGCCGTGCAGAGCAAATGTTCAGGCTGTCATTAGCCTACAGCAAATTCTGTTACTGCTAGTTTATATTTATTCTTGCTATGGTACTGAACTGACAGACAGTAGCAGTATCAAAAGGGGAGAGCTACAGTAACGAAGGGGACAGAGTCTTCAGCAGGGTCTGCAGTGATAGAAGGGAAAATGGCTTCAAGCTCAGGGAAACTAGATTAAGCTTGGATGTGAGGAAAATATCTTCTACAGTGAGGGTGGTGAAGCACTGGAACAGGTTGCTCAGTGTTGTGGTTGATGCCCCATCCTTGGAGACTTTCAAGGCGAAGCTGGATCAGGCCCTGGGCACCCTGATCTAGCTGTGGTATTTCTGTGCATTGCAGAGGAGTTGGATGGCCCTCAGAGGTCTGTTACAGTCCGCGCCCGTTCCGCTTCCCCAGGAGACCGCAGCTTGGCCAATTACTGAGGTGACACCAATATGATGAGCAGTAAAATGGCGTTTATTACCCGTATTAACTACCTTATATAGCTTAATTACTTCGTCTACGCCCCTAGGGGCCTACATCACACATCAATCATTAGAGCAGGGAGGGAGCTTAGCACATCAGACCCCGCGGGGGGGTCTCGCAATTTCGCAGTTGCTGACAACATCTCCCCCTCTCCATGCTCAAAAGCATACTACAACTCGAGAGGACCCTAACCGCGTACACCCCGAAATCCCCGCTTTGTGCCTATACATGCCATTGTCCTCTCGGTTAAGCCTTGCCCCGTTACAACCCGATTCGCAAAACATCCTATCCTAATAGCCTATAATCTATCAACTTAATAACAACCTATTTAACTTAATAATCCTAAAATCTTAAAATCTTATATCTTAAAATCTTATATAAATTCTACCTTAACGTTACAACCGTCTATTAGCCTTAAGATAAGTCTTACAAGAAACGATGCAGTGTATCCCTATTTAACACTAAATCAAGCTGGGACACTTGCTTTAGCAAGCGCCATGTCTTTACATATAATATAACTATAAGAACTAAGCACAATAATATTAAACCTAATATAACAACTACCGGATGCAGTATAAAGTTAAACATTCCCGTTGCTGTGGGAGACCAACCAAAAAGAACCTCCCACCAGTGATGTTCTCCAGCCTTCATTACTCTCTCCAAGACACGATGTATCTCTTTCACGTCATGATGGATGGTGATCAAGGTCTTTTGTCCGTTATCTTTGATGCGATTTAATAGTCGATGCAGATCATCATGTTGTAGAAGCTTCCTTACTAAGGCGAGATTCATTCCAATTAGCGCTGGATGCAAATCTTTGATCAGAGTGTAGTTGGACTGCAGAAGCTTCTCTCACGATTGTTGTTGCTATAAATTGCATCCACATCTGGGGCACTGCACCTTGAAATGGCCACACTGCCCACACCTAAAACACGGGCCTTTATCCCTTCCTCCCTCAGCCTGAGTGACTGCCATTATCGCGGTCTTAACTGCAGAATTAACCGAAGCAGCCATTCCTTGCATGGCAGCTGCTAATCCCTCATTAGTTAATGGTGCGACCTTTTGATGATCTAACACATACTTAATAAGCTCCCCTGGGGAAGTTAGGGTGCCCGGTGCTGCTCTGATGATTTGTTGGATGTCTGGCAATGATTTCTGCTTAAGACATTCCATTATGACTGCGGATTGGACCTCCCTTGGGAGATCAGATCCCTCCACTGCATGAATTAGACGATTCGCAAAATCAGAAAATGACTCAGAGGGGCCCTGCTTTATGTCTGCCCACGGAAGCACAGGTTCCGCAACCTTAGCTAATTCTCGCAGGGCTTGAAGAGCTGCAGCTGTAACGGCTGCCAGCTCTCCTGCTCTGAGCATCGCTGCTTGGCCCTCCGGGGATCCCACCATTCCATCTGCCCGGCCCTGGAGACGTGCAAGATTAGTTCTATCGCCTCTGCGCTGGCCGTTGGCTGGATGGCGGGGGTCACGGGTGGCAGCAGCCACCACAGCTTCAAGTAATCTGTCCCATTCATCATGCCACAGGGTGTATTGTACGGGCTCAAGAATAACATGCATAAGGTTCACCACATCATATGGCAAAAGACTAGAAGCCATAAGAGCTTCCACTGCTGCCATAGTGACAGGGGAACGCAGGCCTTTGCTCTTAACTAAATCCGCAAGACGAGTAACCGCTTTGGAATCCAAAGGAATCCAAGCTGGACCCTCTGGTCTCATCACCACTGGCAAAGTGAGAGCGACACCTGCTGGATCTGCAGCCCGTATGTCCTCCCTCACTCGAGCCCAGTCAGCGAGGGTAGGCGGGCCCCATGAAGCTGTCGATACGGGACCACGCCCCTCCTGGGCAGACCCTGAGGCCATCTCCGTCGGAACGCCCCCCCCACAGCAACGCTGTGCGGGACAATCCACGCCCCGTGGGGAGTGGCTGCAGCAGCAGGCAGAATCGGGCAGTAGGTGAGTCCCGCCCCCACTGTCGCATTCCACAGGTGGTATCACAGCTCCCCCAGACATCTCTCCTTTCTCAAGGACCCTCTTATCAACTGTGCTAGAAGTTGTACTGCTTTCCTCCACCGGCCCCCCTTCCCCGTTATCTTTACAGGGCTTAAGTGAAGGATATATGCTGCGAGCCGGGTACGGAGGTGGGTCCTCCTCTTTATGGTATGACCGCTCCTGCTTCACTTCGTTCTTCTTTATCTCCAGGGTTGTTGTTTCTGGTGGGGCCGAAGGAGTCAGCGCCATCTTGCCCTCCGGCGAATCTGTAGGGGAGACAAGACCCCCCCCTGGCCCTAACCCCAGCAGCTCCTTAGCACGGTCACCTGCGATCTTCTCCTCCTTTGCTTTCTTAAGAGCTATTAAAATCAATCCCCACACCTTAAACTCTGCTGCTTTCTGAGTAAGCATTGCCCTCTGTGAGAGAGCGGCAGTAAACGAATCCCATTTATCAGAATCATATAAGTCAGAAGGGGATGATAATAGCCCCTCCTTCTCCAGCAACGAAAGCGTTGCCGAAATCTCCTTCTTAGAAGGAACATTTTTCCCGCAATAAATTTTGCATGCATGTAAAATCACCTTTATAACGGCTTCCATAACGCCTCCGGCCGAGCGTACACCTGGCCTCTTCTGGCGTCTTTCCCCTAGCGTCCTAGGGGGATCTTGGCTCCTTTTCCCGAGCCTCCCGCCTGACGAGGAGTAATGGCCACCTCCTCCCCGTCCCCGGGCTTCCACTATTCCGCAGATTTGAATTTACCGCCACTGCAGTGGGCTCCTGCTTCCGGCAGACAGCTGACTCACTCCCAGGGATCACGTCGGGGGTCACCACATGTTACAGTCCGCGCCCGTTCCGCTTCCCCAGGAGACCGCAGCTTGGCCAATTACTGAGGTGACACCAATATGATGAGCAGTAAAATGGCGTTTATTACCCGTATTAACTACCTTATATAGCTTAATTACTTCGTCTACGCCCCTAGGGGCCTACATCACACATCAATCATTAGAG